GGGGGGGGGGGCAGTGATGTATGATTGTCTGAGAGGCGGGGAGGGATTGCTCTTTTGTAGTTGAATATAGTGCCGTTTGAAAGACTGAGAGTAAAAAAAGGGAGTTGGTGCAGGGTGGTGTGTGTGTGTGTGTGTGTGTGTGGGGGGTTATGTGGAATGCTGCGTTTTTGTGCAAACAATAAAACTTGCTACGTCAACTGGGTTTTCTGTTTTTGTATTTAATAAGCGAGAAAAATATTTCAAAGGCTACATGGTCATGCATAATGATGAGTATTGCCGAACTATTGTTATGCTTAGACCATGAAATGTTTGATGTGCTATAGCAGTCCTGAAAAAGAGAGAAATAATATGATGCGTTTTATAGACAACGATGAGCAGATAATATTATGTTTGATGCACTGTATCACGCACGACACAAGGAAACATTTTATGCGCTGTATCGTTCAAGAGGAAAAAGAGAAGTTTAATGTGTTGCATCATTCATGACAAGAGGAAAATATGTTTGATGCACTGTGTCCTTCACTACAAAATAAAAATGTGGAATCAGGCGCTCGTCAACTTTTGGGCATACAGAGTCATTAGTGTCTACTTAAAGCTTTACTTTTGTCTTGCTTTTGGTGAAGGAAATACCCATCTATCTTGAATAGATGTCGAGACATTTGTAATTGAAGGAGATGGGGGGTCACCTAGTTTCAGAGATAAAATCAGTGAGAAAATGGCCGCCAAAATGTGGAAACTTCCATAGATTGAAAGTCCTTGAAAACAGAAAATTCACATTTTGCGTGCCTTTACTCATCGTTTCCCAGTAAAATCCACTCCGAAATGTGGTTTTAATTGGACGCTTAGAGTTTTGAGCCAGAAAACAGAAATTCGATTAAAATTGCCGAGTCTGCGGAAAATTACCAGTTTCTTCGATTTCTTTATTTTGAAGAGCGCCTGATTTCAACAAGATTCCTCACAAATATGTTTGACATGCTGTATTGTTCCAGAGAAAGATGAGGTGTTTAATGCGCTGTGTCATTCACGACAAGATGAAAATTATATGTTTGATATGCTGTTTTGTTAAGAACCAGATGAAAATAAGTTTGACGCGGTTGGGGGGGGGGGGTGTTGAGGGAAGATCAACATACATGTAAATGTAATTTGGGAAAACTGAACAAGCGGTACACGTATAGAGAGAAGGATGTATGCTTATCGGCTTATGATTGCTAAGGACATGTTAGCTGACCTCGAAACGTGAAAGCAAGAGAGGGAGTGGGAGAGAGGGATAGAGAAGAAAATAAGAGAGAGAGAGAGAGAGAAAGAGAGAGAGAGAGAGAGACTGAGAGAGAAAGAGACAGAGAGAGAAATGGAGAGAGAGAGAGAGACAGAGAGAGACAGAGAGTGAGAGAGAGAGTGAGAGAGAGAATGTGTATCTTTGTGTGTATGTAGGAGAGAGAGAGGCGGGAGAGAGAAGGAGGGGGACAGAGAGAGGGACAGAGAGAGAAAGAGAGGGAGAGAAAGGGAGTGAGAGAGAGAGGGAGGGAGAGAGAGAGAGAGGGAGAGAGAGAGAGAGAGGGAGAGAGAGAGAGGGAGGGGGGATTCCTTTTCTTGGATTCAGTAAGTAAATAAGTATGTATTTAATACACCTTCGACACGTAACTCGATCTTCCTGTAGTGTTCTTATCCCACAGTTCTTTGATTTCACAACCAAGTAAAGCCAGCCTAGCAAACATTGTGGTTTTTCTAAGGTACTTGTGTATTCAGGTTGTACAGCAGCGAAAGCATGCAACTAGAGAAGAGATGGATAATAATAACAACAACAACAACAACAATACTGTTGTCGTAGTTCTTGGTATATACGTCACCATGATCGCTAACGTTGCGCCTGTGTACTACTCAATCAATCTGGGACCGAAGTATTTCCCTCAATTCAACGAGATAAAGATCGGATTAGTTTACATATCTAACGGTGTCTTTATCGAAAACGTTTCACTTTCTATCAATGCTTTCTCCCAGCTTGTTTCCTTTGCGATCATCACATGCACTATCATCCTTGTTCAAAATCTTCTTCTGAAATCAAAATGGCGGCAGTCGACTTCTAGCGCCGTTCAACAAAAATCTTTTTCGAAAAGAGATGCAAAAGTCGTCAAGATGATAGTTCTCATTTCAGGTATATTCATCACATGTTATTTACCGAGCGCAGACAACTTCATCGCAACGGTTATTGTTGACGAGTACAGTGTCGTTGGTAGATATCAGAATATGTTTGCACTAACATGGGGCCATTTTTCTCACTCTGGTGGCAATCAATCCTACTGTAAATATATTTGTATATTATAGCATGAGCTCAAAGTTCAGAGAAATTCTGAACAAAATGCTCAATTTAAAAAGAACTAAGATATAGATGTCAGGAGAACCAAAATAATTACCATACTGGAACAGAATCTGATATCTTTCTAACGCTTTGCAGGAATAAACGTTATGCTCAACTTTGACCACGACCACCTTCCGCTTCTCACACACATGTTGCATATGCATACGGCCTACGTCACAGTTCACCAAAGACATTTTATTGTGGCAAAACGTGTGACAAGAAATTAATTTTACAGTGAACACTTTTATTTTACACGAACGGATATCAAAACATGCGTTCAATGCCATAGTTAGAGAAAAAAATGACTCACCTGTTTTTTAAAACGATACCGCCCCAGTTGTAAACTTAAAATCTGTAGAAACCACCCACTGTGATTTAAAAAAAAGTATTTATAAGAATTTTTACTTTAAATTATTGTTATGGCGTTTACGGCTAACCAAATTTCGGAAATAAATCTTTCATAAATCCAATGGAGTTTAATTATTTGAGCTTTTTTTCACTTTTTATGAAAAGCACACGAAGCAGACATTTTTTAACCCCTAACTTGTAAGGAGGAAGACCCTAAGACCAATGACACAAACAACAGAATGA